TATGTGATGATGCATATTTCCTACATCTTAAAGACCTGTTTGTGGGGTTAGTTCAAATCCTATCACATGAAAAGACAGTACAATTTTCTGTTTTTGTTCAGACGATTACTGTAAACCCAGTGAGACTTTAATACAAAATCAATGCTTTCTGAAGAGAATGCATTTCATCATGATGGGCAATATTTTTCAAGATAATTTTAATAATAGTGAAAGGCAATGTGTATTGATAATTTTAGAGACTAACACCTATTATACATAGAACAGAAACAGAATGTTCAAAGAGTGCAAAATTCCATCACATTGCCCTACCAACATACTTGAAGTAGTGATAAACAATTATACAGACAAATAACTTCCATTCAATGGGTACCAATGGAAATATTTTTCTGTCTGTTTAGGAGTGTCAGGTGAAATCTACATTTATCAATGTTTATTGATAAAAATCGAATCCTGTCAAGCCTACATATAAGCCACTGAATAACCAAAAAGATAAGCACAGAACTGCATTAAGTGAGACAGTTACTTTAAAACACATGGTGAAAATGTTATACAGAAAACTTCTCATATGCTGTGATTATGTTGCAGAAAACTCTCAGAATACAAAGCCTACAACTTCACAGATGGACTTCCAAAAGATATCAGAAAATCCAAGCCTTGGAAAGATCAGGTCCTGAGATTCAACCTGAACAGATAAAGCTAAGAATCCATATTTTTCAAGGGTAATGTTTCTGCTGATATCCCCAGATTCCCTGTATTTTTATCCAGCAAAATTATTTTTCACTTTCCATCCTGTGAGAGATTTTGATAGTGTCAACAACATGAAATGGCTGTCCTGCTCATCTTCACAGGTGGTTACATGATAGCCATATATTGGCAAAGTTTATATATTGGTAGAGTTTATAAAGCACTTTCCCCCTGCCTCAAGACTAGAATAGTGTTTTATAAAACTTTAAAATTATCCTGTGGTTATTAAAAGCCTATATGCATATACACACGAACATACATTTATATATAAACACATCAAGCTGCATCAAGGTTTCCCTAAAGAAATCAGACAGCATCTGCAAATAATCCCCAGAATTCAGTGTCAAGATTTTCCAAGAGTTCCTGCTGGATCAAGAAAATCTATGCATATCAAGTTATTTCCAAGGTGTATGCCACTGCAATATCTAAGTACCACTCCAGGTGATGAAGGGTTATCCACTGAAGTTGCTTTTAAGAATGCTGTGAATCAGCTCCAGGTTAGCAAGTTCAGAGTAACTTTAATTTTGTATTAGGAAATTTACTGATAAAGCAATAAGATTAGACCAACCCAGAAAATCCAACCTAGCAAAAAAGACATACATATTACTTCACCACTGACTGCTCATGGAAGAAAATTAGACTTGTTCAAGCATTTCAGTTTGTAATTTTGTTACTTTCTAATGGCTGAAGGTCTGAATAAAGAATATACATCCTTCTGCATTCCTAAAGCCATTTGGTTGTCCAGGTAGCAAGTGAACAGTCAAAATGCAACATTTCTACACATAATGTCATATTTAAGTTGTTGTTGTTAACTGCAGATGAGTAGTTTATATAAAAAAAGTAACATATTTTCAGAATATAGCCATGCAAAAGGCATTATCAAATTCTCTTCTAGTAGAAATTCCACTTCAGATGCTTAAATGTATGTTCTGCCATTTGCCCATTTTCTTCTTTTCCATCTTTCAAACAATTCACAAACTCTTACACATTTTTAGAACTGACTAGTTTTCTTAAATACCTTCTTAATTTGTGAACCATCTTAGCCTCATAGCAGTAGTTAAACTATCTCCTATGAGAGACAAGTTGTAGACTATAGGTCTACATAAATAGTAATGGTCTTCAAAACTTCTTACCAGGGGGTTTCTGCTCTTAAAATAAGTAGATTGTCTGGAATTCTGAAGCTTCCCTGAACAAGATTCTGGAAGTTTTGAGGTGCAACAGTTTGGGAAATTTATCTTTGTGAACCTGAAGAATTCCAAGAGAGTTCATGAAACTGCTGCATTACTACATGCTTTAGTGAATACTGAATCAACCATATGCTACCAGGGTAGGTATAACAAATTTCTCAGAACAGGAACAAATGGATGATGTTAACTTCTCTAAGTTTCTCCCATTTGAATGGGGAACTAGAGTAATGGAAGGGCTGCAGACTAAGTGGAAAATGAGGACCAGGATACAGGCATTACACTTGTACTTGGAAAATTAGCATGATCTCAGTTTGAAACTAGAAGTATATTAGTGCTCATTCAAGTTCTCTCAGAGGAAACATGACCCCTCTGGGAGAAAGATCTTTTAGGTTAACACCTGGAAGATGTCCCCTGAGAGAGATTTTCTCTTGCATGAATGAACACCTCCATGGTGCTCCATTTCCCTCCTGGTTTGGTCTGGTTAAGAAGTGGAGCAGCAGGGTATTGCTCCTCCACACCTCTTCCCCAGACTAAGGACCTCCTGGTCTGAGGAATGGACTGGGGATGGGGAGGGGTTTGTCCTGCTATTCCCTCTACGCTACTCCTGGAGACCAGGGCAGAGTAAAGGAGGCTGCTGCTCTTCTGTTCCCCAGACTAGGAGCCTCTGATCTGGTGAAAGTGTGCAGGAGTCTTTCCCTGCCATTCCACTCCCTCCAGGGACTGGAGGAGAAAAGCAGCTGCTGCTCCTGCAACTGGGGTCAACCTGGTCTGCTGAAGGGGAAGGGGTGGGTGCAGGTTCCTGAAAAGATTTCTAGTGGTGGAAATTTCTCAGAAATTTCCAAATAAATGCATGTTTGTGGCCTAAATCTACCCAGAAAGTGCAGGAGGAGGAAGTGGGACACCAGAACACCTGCAGCAAAAAAGGGAAAAGACCTACCTTTTGAAAAAACAAAGACTCTGAGTGATGTTCTCAGTAAAAGGAATCTACTGACTGTTGGGTCTGAGCAGCAGAGGAGAGCTCACTGCTGAATTTAGAAAATACTCTAAGAGAAGACTTATCTTAAGGGAATGGGAGTCCAAGAGAGGACCTGGGATCCCTCAAAGGATGAATCAAATCCTGAAGAGCAATAAAAGTTGGAAGAGCACTGGAAAAAGAGTTTTTACAGGAAATTATTTCTTATTTTGCCCAGAATGTGCATCTTCTAGGACAGTGGTTCTCAACCTTTTCAGATATGAGGCATACCTCCAAAACATTTCCAAATCTAGCAGCACCCCGTAAAAAAAAAATACAAATACATTATGAATATCATAATATAAAAGTTATATAATAAATAAATACATTATTAATTGCTCCAATTATAAATTGCATTATATTATATTCACCCCCCTGCCATAGCTGCTGTGGCCAGGTGGAACTGCGCCATGCACTACCTGCAGAGCCAGATCAGGAAGTGGTTGTGGCAGGAATGTGTGCTCTTGCTGCAATCCTTCCCGGTCTAACCCTGTACAGTGTCTTCTGGAAACACAGATGCACAAGGCACATGGAACTGTCCTGTATGCCTCTTCAATTGGTGTTATGGAGCTGAACTGAGAAGCAGCTGCAATGGAAACAGCATGCCTGCCTGCATCACATTATGCAGAGAGGTACATCAGTCAAGCTGCAGCTCTTCCTGGTTTAGCTCTGACATGGCTCCTGAAAATGGAGGCATATAAGGCAGTTTTACCCTGCGACTGAGATGGATGCCGCTGCCACCAGGTAGAACTACCCTGCACACCTTTGTTTCCGGAAGACACGTCAGAAGTGAAATGAAAAGAGCTGTGGTGTAGCACAAAGAGTGTGCCTGTCTCCATAATGTAATGTGGCACCCCAGTTGAGAGCCACTGGTTAGGACTAAAATGTGATCAGTTTAAGAATTCCCCTGAGAGGCGAGGCTTTTTGTGATATCTTTTACTAGAACAACTGTATAGTTGGAAGAGCTGCTGGACAAGCTATTGGACCTCAAGTGCCCTTCTTCAGGTTAGGAATTCCTCTGCAAATTTGCTGTGTTACTTGCTTCAGTTATCATATTCCTGAAGAGTTGAAAAATATTAACAGGAGTATGATCCAAGGATGGAGTTTTCAAGAAGGAGAGAGAGACAGTTGGGCATAAGGTTCAGCATGGTTCCTGCAGCCTAGGACAGTAGGCCTGTGGGCCCCACTCCCATAAGCAGAACAGATAAAGTCTGTGCCTCAGATGACACAGCCAGAGATTACTGCTTGAGCCTGCTGAAACCCAATGGAGTTTGACGCACATGGATACTATATGTATCCAAAACATCCTGGAGAGCATCTATGAACAGGTCCACAACCAGGACAGAAGAATTATGTAATTTAATTTCTGTACTCTGTCTTCCTGGAAGTGCCCCTATTAGCAGGACTTGCCTGTTCTGGCTTTGGGACTATCCATTCTCAGATTTACCTTCCATCTTGCATCAATTAAACACATCTGGTACTTCTGCAACATCATTTCCCTTTCTGGATATGGTTTATTAACCTAAAAGCTTCCTCAAACTTTCCAGCTCCCTTCCTCTGCTCAATTCACTTTTTCAGCTTATAATGAATTTCAGCACCCAGCTAGACACGAAAGCCTCCCGAATTATTTATCTGACCTTCTTCATGAACTTTTGCCTATCTTATGGACTCTCCAGCACTTCTGGCTGCAAAGTCCATGGGGTCACATGCAGGGCCCTCTTCTGTTTTGGGTTTATAAGCTCCAGAGAGTTGTCAGTTGTCTTTTTCCATCAGATTCTCTCCCTGCTCTCTCTGACTGAGCTCAGACTACCTTTACGTTTGGATGGCTTGGTTTCTAGCAAATGGTCTTATTCTCCTAGAGAAGCCTCTCTGGAACAGTTGAGGTTGAACATCAAAGCCCTTAAAAGGATCAGCCTCACTCCTCCCCTTCTTTCCCGCCCCTCCATTTTCACTAAACAGTTATCAACCAATACTGGGAAAAAATACAAAAAGTACCCCAATGCTACTCTTATCAACCCCAGTTTCATATATATTTCTCTCAGGAAGGTCTCACTCACCCTGCTGCCCCTGCGGTGTTTGTGAGATGATGAACTGTGCTGGCTGCAAGTTGGTTGTTGGATGCACCAACACAAACTGTTGCAGGTTGAGATTCTGCTGTTGGAGCTGCTGCAGGTGCTGCAAATCCTTAATGAAATAAAACAGCTGTGCATTAGTCACTTAAATCAGTCACCATTCCTAAAATGTCTTAGATAAACTAGAACCTTTCTAACCCATTATTCCTAGCTGTGGAAGATAAAAGGTGACCAAGCCCCAAGCACTCTCACTACTACATAACTTTGTATTTGTTGCTCACCATACTCCAGCGCCGTGTGGAATTGCACATGAACAATTTACTAAATGCCCCAAGTAAGGGATTTCTACCATCTCCCCTACTGTAAAACAAAACAATGCAGTATTTAGGTTGTCATGACATGATCATCTGCTTTCAGGAAAATCTGGAAGATCTATAACCATTTCCTCCATTTCCACTTCTGTGCTAATTTCTCTTCCAGAATGAATGAAAGACATCATGTGTGGTGTCACTTACTCTGGTTTTGCAAGAAATCTGGTCTCTTTCTCATACAATGCACTAAGTTAATATATTCAGTAGTGGGAATAAGAAACTGCTGGGAAAGAAACATCTGCTGGGAGGAACAGTCAGCCAGGACGGACTGTT